CACGGATTTCATAAAAGAAATCTGTTCAAATTAAAATCAAACACCATCTATATGTAGCGACGTGATCTCCCACAAACTTATATAAAAGAACAAGGTCCTATTTTTTTATTTTTGTTTTATTCTGAAAGCATTTACAGTTTAAAACAATGTACCGTTTTTAAAGGATTCTCGCAAGGCATATGTTTGGTTGTGCTTACCTGGACTGCATTTCGTCATGTAATAATAATAATAAAAAAAGAAAGAGTCACGGCATTGGAATAGTAAAGTTCTGGTTTTATTTTAACGAAACTGCGTTGTTGTTGTTTTTTGTAACCTGCAATTTGTAAGAAAATACAAAAACGTGCAATTAAGCACTTTTTTTTTTTTGCTGTTAATGCAATTAGGCAAACGAGTTGGTTAAGGATAGTCATGGTAACCCTGAAGCGAGGGACAGGCACGAAACTCCGAGTTGCGTGTCTGTCCGTCCTTTTTTGTTCCCTCGCTTCAGGGTTATCGTGTCTTTTTGCGATGTTTCAGTTTTTTTGGAAGTGTAAAACGTGATTTAAACGTGCCATATTCTTGATGACGTTTTAACGGTAATAAGTAATGAATAAGAATACATTTTGTTCCAAATAAATCATAATTCACCCGCATAGTATTGCAGAACTTGTGCTTCTTGAATTTCTTATTCGTGTAGCGTCATTAACCATCATGGAGATCCAAAACTGTAGAGAGCTAAACATTTATTGTAGGTTTTCTCAGTCTCGTCTCTATCGTGAATCAATACCAGGTCGCCTCCGCAAACCAACCTTTTTTCTATAATAATAAAGAACTAATATATTATGCTGTAACCAGAAAATACAATAAACAGTTTTCCTAAAACGATTGCCATGTATTTCGCTCCGTAAAGAAACTGGAAAATAAATTTAATTTCGCCTTGGAAAATTGGTGCCAAACATTTTATATGTCGTATTTTCGGTACGTGCCTGTTTTCCGCCGACGGTTACTCTTCATGGTAAATTTAGTTTAAGAACGAGCTAGGAAACCGTTTTTTAGATCCATATGGTTTCTAATCACGTGTAAAAAATATACGTTGATAATTGTTTTTCGTTGTTTTTGTAACTCTGGTAGGACATTAAATTTCAGATGGCAAAAAAAAAAGTAACTGCACTAGAAGAAATATTTTCTTTAAGAATCTTAAGCCATTCAAGCTCTTTTCGTAGAGACTTTTGTTCACAGCTAATAAAATATAACAGATTTCATTAGCTGCTTATTATCACACGACATCAAAAAATCTATACAAGAAAAGCTTCAATACCTTGAGATTGTTCATTCAAATTATTGCCACTGGTGACGAATTTTATAATTTTATTTTCTAATTTCTGACCGATATATTGTAGGCAGTATAGCTTCATACCATTTAAAACAACCTACTTCATAATTCTAGCCTCTGAGTGCTCACCTAAAAAGGGAACATTCGTGCCGAAATCTCCCCGTGAGGTGTGTGCTTAACTAATATCGTGGTCTTTGCAAAAAATAAAGCCTAGCCAATGACGAAACGGAAGAGGAGACGCGGAGACGCCATCTGCGCTGAGGCAGTCACTGAACATGACGCTTCTCTTGCTGAGCATCCCGGGATCAATCGCATATTCCTGAGCAGAGATGGGCAGTATTTCAAATACAAGTATTTGAAATACGTATTTTAAATACTTTGTGTATTTTTCATTTGTATTTAATTACAAATTGGGTAATGTATTTGACGTGTATATTTAAATACTAAAACGAGGGTATTTTAAATACAATTATAATTAAATACGATTTTGTGGGCGAAAATACATCTTGTTTTTATGCATGTGGTTGTAAGATATAGTCTCCATTCTTTATTCGGCCATGGGGCTTTTTTTCTTTTTCTCCTCCGGCTTTATTTCAAAGGCACTGACCAGAGCAGGAAGAAAACTACGTTCTGCACCGAATGCAGTGTCTCTCAATCAAGCACAAGAGTTTAGTGACTTTGTGATTACGGTGCTAGTCCAGGGCAGGAATGGGGACGAAATCGACTTTCACAGGCAGACTGGCTAAGTAACTGCCTGTGACAACTTGTGATGCTTTCCAGCCTGATTTCCATCCATATTTTTGCCTGGAACATTCTAGATGCGCGGGTGGTCCAGATTTTCGTAACTGGTGCGAGTTGCAACATTAAAAAATTCTCTAGCTAGTGCTGCGCGTCTTGGTCGTCTCGGTTCTTTGTTGGTCTATACCAAAATGTAATCCACAAAAAATGCTGCGTGAAGCTATAATTTTTTCACCTATTACATCCAAGCTGATTACTTTTTTTTATTATATTTCAATTACGTTACTAGAGCCTCGCACACTAATTTCCGAGTGTGCGATGCAAAATTAAAATGATATACCCAGAAACTTGTTGCAGGTGCCCTCAAGTCGCTGACGCAAATTTTGAGAAATGTATTTGGAAAAGTATTTGGAGGAGACCAAATACATTTGGTTGTATCTTTATCTTGTACTTAAATGCTTTTTTCGAAATGTAATTAGATTTGTAATTAAATAGATTTTTGACGAAGTATTTTGTATTTGTATTTCGATACATATTTGCAAGTATTTTGCCCATCCCTGTTCCTGAGTCGCAAAGGAAGGCGCGAATAGGCAGCATACAAGCGGCAAATGGCGCCCGTCGGCACGTTCGTATGCGGGGAGCAAGTCGTCCGCTTCTCCCACAGGAGTTGTGGTGACGTCAGAACGACACCGAGCTCTGATTGGCTTTGATCGAAAGGATAGGGGTAGACCTCGATGCTAGATGCCTTGAAGCAAACCAACTTTTTTTTTTTTTTTTTTCAATCATCCCGTAAGCATTTGGCGTTTTGACATCATTGCAGCTCCTGTGCAAGAAGCGGACGAACTTGCGCTCCGCATAGCTTGTTGTACGGTGGCTACTGGTTTGGCGCCGCACGCTGGGCGAACACTGCTGGGCGAAATTCGTTTATTGTTCGCCGCATCGCTCCTTGAAGTCCAGCCTTGATTCGCTAGGCTTCTTCCGTAAATCGCAATTATTGGTCTTTCCCATACGCGGGCATCGTGGGTGATGAGGACGCTTATAAGTGGATGAATAAATAGATTTTGGATATATTTTTGTTCTTTCCAACGTTCACTAAAATACTTTGGCTGCTGGGTAGTGTCACTACGCGCAAACTGACCGAAGAAATAAGCGCATTCATGATACTATGTCATAAAACCCAAAAAACGCAGGTGAATTGTTTGTTTATATCTCGTTTCAGGGTTACTTTCGAATTGAAGACAATCGATCGGACCGACTTTCTTGAAACGAGATGCGCATTAATATCATCAGAGATACCAGTCTCTCCACAGCAATGTGTTTCCTTTCTCTCTTTCATTCGAGATTGCCTCGACTGAAACATGGCCATGACAAGCGGATGAGCCAAAAAGTTCGTAAAGACATGAGTCTTCATGTACCCAGACGCATTTTAGATGGTCTTGAATTTGACTGTTTCTTGTCTTTCACTAGGCAAGCCCTGAAGTATAATGTTGTGGAAACGCTCTAAACACTTCTTGACACCTAAGATATGCTATTTCAACGTTTCCTAGTAGCCTAATGGGTCAACATCGCCCAAAATATTTTTTATGCTTATTCTACAGTGAACTCCTCTATATCGTTGACTTGCGAATATGTATGTGAATTGTGCCAAGTAATTGGAGTAATCCTTGGCATCACATCCCGCTCTCGGCATATTATATGACGCTGGCCCCTGTTGCTACTTTATGGCTGCGTAAGTATCATGCAGTCGAAATATTCATGGTGTTTGATTTTAATTTGAACAGATTTATTTTATAAAGTCCGTGAAACGTACACTGATGCGGTTTGTGCAGGTCAGTTATATTGCCAGGTAGGCATAATATAGTTTTTTTTCTGACCTTACGTCGTATAATATTTTACTATTTCTTCATTAACTTTTTAATTAGTGAAAGTAAACGTATGGTTCCATTTAGAAACTTGCTGGGCGTCATCGAAAAGCATTAAATTAGTCCATTTTGGATGTACTTGAAGCACGCGGGAAGCGTCGGGGTACGCTAAAGTTACCGGTCATGCAATAGGCTCAAGGATAGCGGTGTGAAAACGCAAATGATAATCTCATCATTCGCGTTTTCCCATCTTTAGCCTCGTGCCTGCTGCACGAGTGGTAACTTTATCGTACCCCAGCGCTTCCCACGTGCTTCAAGTCCATCCAAAATGGACTGATTTGGTGGTTTTCAATGACGCTCAGCAAGTTTCTAACTGGAGCATACGTTTATTTTCGCTGATTAAAAAGTTATTAGCAAATTGTAGTTATTTGTCCGATGTAACGTGAGGAATAACCCTTTATGTTATGACCCGACCGTAAAACTCACCTGCACAAAACACATCAATGTACATTTCACGGATTTCGTAAAATAAATCAGTTCGCATTGAAATCAAACACCCTGCACATTTTTCCAGAGAGACAAGAGAGTTCCGAATTACCTCATGTTCGCCGGAGCAATGAAAACGCCGAGGGAGTTCAGATAATCATCAGTTCATTATTCAAGAGATCATGCCAAGTTCTTAACAAAGTGATGACTTATTCGTACTTTTTTTTTTGGTCGGCACATAACCAATTATAGAACATCCTGGTGGAAAATATCGCCGTGGTCTCTGTTTCACGGACATGCTTGTAAGGCCCAAGAAAGAGACAGAGGCTGAAGGATGATGAGTGAAAAGATCAATTTATTGCACGATAATAATGTTCGGTATTGAAAGAGAAAGATGGAAACATTTTTTAAAGGCAAGACTTATTAAATTCGTTGAATCAATACAGCTGCACCAATTATACACTTATAATGGGAAGTGACAAAGAAAAAGCGTATCACCAAAATAAGTAAAAAGACATGTCACTATTTGAGATAACCTTTATTTTCCGGCGACACTAAACGTTTTGCGCTCCGGGCGATCCTACGCAACTTACTTTTCATGAACGTATGGCCTACGAGAATGTTGAAAACGCTAAAACGTTAATTTCCTTTGTGAGGCTGCAGCCCAGAGTTTATCAGAAGTTTTCCCACGGTGGCCGCTTAGGCCGGACATCGCGCCTATGTTAGCATTCATATATCTCGCAACAAATTCCAGAAATGCGTGTACCTGTCTGTGTTACCTATCACGAGATCGAAGTTTCACATGGGTGAAAACGTTTACTTGAATTGATAATTTTTTGTCATGTTTGTTGGCTGTGTCGAGTTTGCGCTGCTGGCTTCTTGTGAGTTCTTGTTATTAAACATTGAACTCGTTTATATATACTTACCTCTTACCTCTCTCCCATCACTTACATGACTGGAGGGTACAACTCTTGAGATCATAAAAGTTTTTGTGCACCGTTTAGCCCGTTTTGCTGGGACAGGAATAAATAGCGACATTTGCGAGCACGAGCTCGCAGCTTTGCATACGGTTCCACCGCTATTCGAGTCTTCTTACAGGGAAGCCGTATTCTCCCATTGCGTTTTTTCGAATTTGCAAGAGTCACTTTGAAACCCCATTAAAGTGAAACTTGTCTTAAAATTGTCAGGCATATAATACTTAAGGCGAATTTCTTGGCTTGGCGCTGCTTGAAATGGGACGGGAACTGAAAAAGAAAAATCAAATAGAAGTATTATTTGCAATTCAATAACTTTCAATTGTATCGATTTTTACAAAATCGGTAGCTCACAAGGAGAGTTTATGCAGGTTACATGGTAGAATTTCTTTTCTGCCACCTAGTACTGCGGGCGCGAAGCGACAAAACACGAAAATCCAAACTTTTGATGCATCGTCTAGTTCTGTGTTCTGTGATTCCGGGTGTTAGCAATGGTCGCGTACGTGAAATCCTTGGATGCAGTTAACAATAACTTTGCCTACAACGTAATGAAAGCCACAAGAGAAATAATTTTTGTCACAACGACAACAGCAGTAACGGTTTCAGCTCCTGACCTTTCTAGTTTTCAGATTATTCTACGATTTGGTGGAGGATTTTAGATGAAACAAGTAGACGGTCAGAAGTTATGATCTTAGATTGGCGAAGAAGCCTTTTCCGATGTTTTCCATAAATTGAGGAGTAGCTCGGACATCAACGTCAAAAACCGTTGACTTTGTGGATGTCTTACTTCCAATAGAAATACACCGGAGCGACCAGTCCAGTAAAGCGCCGGAAATATAACATGCACTTAAAAAAAAAAAAAAAAAGACAAGAGAAAAAAAAACAGTGCGTCTACTTTCCTGCACAACACTCGTAGAGCCAATCACCCAAACTTACGGAGGCAGCTCAACGAATGACGATGCCCAAACATATGTTTAGACCAAAAAATGCAGTCTGAGTCGTGACATTAAGTAATGGAAGCGTGACGTTTTGCATTGCTTAATGTCACAACTGAAAGTGCGATTTTTGGTCTAAACTTATGTTTTGGCATCGTAATTCGCTGATATTCCTCCGTAAGTTGCTGTGATTGGCTCTCTGAATGTTGTGCGGGAAAGTATACGCACTGGCTTTTTTAGAGTATATAACATTTCTATTTCTGCAGATCGATGCCTTTTCATGGCTCAATCGTACTTTCTGCGGCTGGAGTGCAGATCTCTCCGACCACATGGTTCGAACTGGTGGTGAAGCATCTACAACAGCGTGTTTCCCCCGCCTATTTTTTCTGATTCCTAATACGCTTAGCACGTCCCACATATTTGCATGGTGGAATTGTTTGATGAGAACAAATAAGAAGGTGCTGTGATTGCTTTGACATAAAGCTGAAAAAGCAACGAAGATGGGAATATTCCCTCGCAATTTAGGTTCCACGTACCTTCATAAAAACTGCAGTTTTTTTTCTATAGTATTGTTATTCTCAATACCTTCGATGTATCTTATTTATTTACGGAATCACCGAAAGATTGTGATTTCTTCCGTTTGTATTGACATACCTTGGTGCTTCTCTTCGCTAGACCGAGCGCCTTCAAGATTTGTGGCAGCGTGGGTTCAGCTTTTCCAATTGGACGTCAGGATATTCTGTCTGTCGGTGCACACAAAGTCTGGCCGGGGCATGCGGTACAGGATTTCGACAGCGTGTCTGTAAACGTAAGGAGACAAACCGCTCAACAATAGTAAATCAACTGCTATCTGCCGCATCTATAAATCCTAGAAAGAATGAAATAACCACGGCTCACATAATACAAGTATCTAAAGGCGCGCGTTTGGAAAAAAAATATTGTAATGGCTTCTATAGTCTTGTTGAATGCATCTGTCAGAAGAAAAAAAATTAGATAGCCGCGCAATAACTGGAAGTGCCAACCTGTCGCGTTTAACATTTCCTCCGCAACAAGATGTAGATATACACCTACCCGCTACGAATTCGAAGCACCTAAAGGAAGTTTACTCTCGACGTATGCAAGAAGTACCTGTGGGGAAGGGGGAAACGCATCGGGTATGTACGAAATTGCCTCTTCAGCAGATATGTGATGTAGTTTCAAAGTATATTAAACAGGTTACCCTGACTAGGGGGGGCCAAATATAAATATACAATTGCTTGGAACAAGTGTGGGAGCTCACGAAATTATAGGTCAGGAAGCAAATTATAAAAGTAATCGACGTGTGTTCAGAACGAGCGCACATCTTTCAGCAAACAATGACACAGAGGACAAGTGTAATTCTGGAACAGTGAAGGACCCTCCTGGTTGTGATTCAGTTTGCGGAAATAAATCACTGGCTGTGGCACATGTGCCATAGCCAGTGGTGAGACGCCTTCAGTGCGAGAAAAGTTTTTCACCATTTTTCACCACCTGGTTGTGGTCATTTAGAGCAGCCAGCCCTCATCCGCCGTAAATGTACGGTGAACTGAAACGGGATTGATTTCTAAATTAAATCAATCCAGTTGATTTTGCACCTTGCAAAAATACAGATGGAGGGGCTGTGGAAAGAGCCGACGCGGCGAATATAGTCGAAAACAAAAAAGAGAAAAGAAATCTAAATACTTTCTAGACACGATAATTATGAGAAAAAAAAGTTAGGGCGCAGGCGAGCTGGTGTAAGTTTACCATTTTTTTAGACCACCTGAGACTGGTGGAAGAAACACGACAACGTCTCAAACACAGCTAACCACCTTATTCAGTTCTCCCTCCTTTTATACATCCTGAGCCCCGTGAAAATGAGGTATATCCGACAATAGAAGGCTAGTAGAAGGATAGTTTATTACTAGAGCTACTACGTTCTTAGGGGATTAACTGGAATACTCTTTACCTTGCTCCTGTCCCGGAGGAGGAATTTAGGAATGTCAATAATTTAGAGCCCAGCTATCGGTCGGCTTTATGGGATCATTGAGCGGTGCCGACAGAACCAATACGCGGTATAAAGCACTTATTTTTCTGCTAAGTATAATCTGCGGACGCTTTCTCGAAATAAAACAAAAACAAACACACAAATTGACAGACTCATGTGTGGCCTGCACCTTGAACCAATCTTAAATATCGTGATAGAAAGAAGCTATGTACAAATATAGAACACCAAATCGGCACATGAAGAGGCACCGATGATCCTCTTTCTATAATTTTGTTTAGCTTTGTTGAGTTCCCCTTTTCTGGGAACTCGACCTTCGGGGGGCATTAATGACCATCTTCCTCTTAACTGCCATACACGCGCCATCGTGCCAAGCCCCGAGGACGGCTTCAACGGCGGTGGCGGCGGCATCGGCGGCACACAGCTGTCAAAGAATTGACTTGGGTTGTTGCGTCACAGCAGAACTCTGCTTAAAGTGGCGTCCCCTTCGTCCCCCTCACCCCTGTTTTTCATCTGTGCCCGTTGGGCCCATTGGCTGGGCGCTAGAGATTTTCTCTATCGCCCAGCCTGCCTAGTTGCGGAGCCAAGTCGCCGTCACTGTCGCTCCGACCAATGAGATACGTCCCGCGCGGCGCTCCCTTTCGCTACACCCTCCTACTTTCGCCGCTTTCTGCGTGACCGACCGAGTGGAGACTACAAAGTGGGAGAAGTCCTCCTCGCTTTCGGCAGCGGTTTCGTTGCTGCTCCCGGCGGCCGCAAGGAGCGCCCCGCGCGCTTTATTGGTCGCGGCTTTCCTTCCTCTTATTTGAATTCGCAGATACCCCTCCTCCGGGAGCTTCTTTGTCTGGCTTTTTTGGCTTTTTTTGTTTCTTTCTTTGTGTAACCGGTTATAGTATTTTGCCTGTTGACCTTCACCTTCGAGGGACTTGGTAGCCTTTCTTTCTAGAGGAGAGTGCCGGCGTTTAGAGTGCGCTCTCACTCGTCTGCTCTCTCGCCCTCGTTTCTTCCTTTGCCAAAGAAGATACAGTGTAAAATGAAGAGTGGAAAAAGTGGCTCGCTCCGATTCAGTCGGCCTTTTTTTCTTGTGCTACGCGGACCACGTGTCGTGTTATACTGTGTGCTGTGGCGCGGAGTTGGAATACCGTTCTCGTCGGTGATCGTCTCGTTCCCAGGTTATCTACCATAGGTAACTTTTTTCTTTGAGTTTTTGCGCGACAATGTCAAAGACTCGCGAACCCTTTCGGGGCCGTTCTAAAACGCGTAATTAGCTGCACTTTCATTTTTTTTTTATATTCCTAAGAAATTTTTTTTATATGTAAATGGGGCAATGGCGCGCGTGTTCCTCCCTGATCGCAACTTGTTTTGTCGTGATACATGCGAAATAGAGCAAGCGGTCTGGAGTACTACTTCACAATAGCTTGATTTCCCCTTGATTGAGTGTGCACCCGCCGTTATACAAGCGGTTAGGACCAATTGAGCAACGCCAAATACCCAACGTCACGTAATTTGCCGTCTTTCTGTGCATGTATTTTCATCAATTGAACCGGTCAGGCTTAGTGAATTCGCCGGGAACAGGCGCTTTTGTGGTTGCGTGTCTTTTAGCCTTTTACCATGCTCTGACATGCTGAAACGGTCTGTAAAGAAAACCCGTCGCTGTTGGTACGGCTGAAGTGAAAAATACCGTCCCACAGATTTTCCTCCGAAAATCGCACTTCATATTTTGCTATCTTTGCTGGATTACGACGAGACATTTTATACAAACTTTGGGAGGGCTAATTACAGCAATAATGTTTGCTAGAGTTCGGCAAATTGTGTTATTAAACTCTCATATCCCGCTTGATGCGCTCGTTCCTCATTTCATAGGAGTAACGCTGACCCAATGTTTCAATTACCTCTAGGTTTTCTCTTAGAGCTTCATAAGACAGCGCTGAAATATGCATGTTTTTAAACCGATTTTTGTTGAAACTTCGAACTTTCTAAAGCTTTATGGGTTTTAGGAGCATCCACGCCTGCGTAACTCATAGAATTGCAGTATGTGTTCTAATTAATCAATAAATTTACTTTGTCGTTGTTCAACCAATACTCGTCTGACAACATGAAGTTGTACCTGTACAGAGATACCTATTAAATGGTCGTTAGGGTCTCTAACTGGAGGACATTACTTTGCGTTAGATATAAGTTGACCTGGATCCAACAATTTGTGTGAGTGTACATTGTTATGTTTTTACATAAAAGAAGTTGATTTATAACTCGGATGTATTCATAAATAGATCACTTCACATACAATGGCTTGACCATTCGGGAAATCCATGTTCTGCAATGGCTATTTAGAAATAGTACGTGACAAGACAGCATATATTTTAAGAAAATCCGTGGGCCTTCCTTATTTTCGTATCTATGAATACAAAAGCACACTTCTCGACAACTCGTGCCATATGTTTAGATATACGCACTGATGTTCGGAAGAATGAAAAGGTATTGCAATTTTTGGAACGTGAAACAGTAGTTTTGTTCGGATGAGACCAGTACTTATGCGCAAAATTACCGGGCCAACCATGTGACAACTCGAAACACATTCGAAACTAAAGTATGCCCATTTGCATCGATCTTGGGAAATATTATAAACTACTGACTCTTCTGGGTACCCCTTTGTACACGTCATGGAAAAACTAAAGTTTATGTATACTGTATACAGTGAATTTCTCGCGTTACCTGGAATAGGTGGAAACAAGGAAATGAGAAATATATCTCTGTCAAAAAATCTCGACAAATAAATGCTATTCCTATTTCGAATTAAGGGTTGTAGGCAGGCATCTTAGATAACAATTTAAATGCGCCGACAGAGCCACTAGTACTTCCTTTAAAATGTTTCCCTAGCTCAAATCCAGGTTGTTTAAGAGACCTCAGCTCGTTCATTTCGTAAAACATTTGCTAATTTCAATTCTCACTTAACATATATCCCCCTAACCTCTCACTTCATATTCTTTTCAAAAACATACGTTCGACGGTAATAAGCCGCTTATTAAATATCATACACAGCAACACTTAAAATCAAAATGGACTGGATAAATCTAGAAAAGGAGATTATGTCAGACTTTAGCTACGTCCCGAGCTCAACACAATGATTTTCGATCTTACGAGGGTTCTTAAAATTCAGATCGGTAAATAAATTTGAAATTGGCATAGCAAACTGAACAAAATAACACCTGTCAACTTCGCAATTGAAATATGCATGAAGGCCTAAATATGTTAATTCTCTATGTCGTTGTATTAGATCAAATTATTACTACACAAAAACGAGGGTTCTGGTGACTGAAAATAGTCAGGAACAACCTGAAATGCCTAAAGGCGGTTGGTTCTCTATGTCGCTGTACCAGCTTGATTGAATAGTACACAAAAACGAGGGTTTTGATGATCTAATATAGACAGGAACCACAAGAAATGATCAGAAGCTTGAGTCTATGTCACTGTATCAGCTTGAATGAATAGTAGAGAAAAACGAGTGTTTTGGTAATTGAAAATAGCCAGGAACAACTTGAAATGCCCAAAGGTGTTTCTTTTCTATGTCGCTGTACCAGCTTGAATGAATAGTAAACAAAAACGAGGGTTTTGATGATCGAAAAGAGTCAGGAACAACGTTAAGTAGGACCAAAGGTGTTAGTTCTTTATGTCGTTATACCAGCTTGAATGAATTGTCGACAAAAAACGAGTATTTTCATGAATGAAAAATAATCACGAATCACTTGAAATGGCGGAACGTACTCTCTATGTTTTATCAGTCTGAACAAATAGTTAACAAGAATAAGGATTTTTATGACTGAAAATGGCCAGAAACAGCTTATGATGGCTAGAAGTGTTAGTTACCCATGTCGTTGTATCGAATTGAATGAATATTAAATAACCAAATCGAGGCTCTTATGATTGAAAATACTCAGGAAGAACTTGGAATGCCTAAAGATGGTGTTATCTATGTTGTTGTATCAAATTAAATGAATATTAGACAAAAACAACTTGGACTGCTTAAAGGTGTGGGTCTTTTATGTCGTCGAATCAGATTGAATGAATCGTAAACAAAAAACGAGGCTTTGTGATGACCTAAAAAAAAAAGTCGGGAATAGCTTGAAATACCTAAAGATGTTTGTTCTTTATGTCGTTGTATATCAGTTGAAGCACTGGCAAACAAAAATTAGGGCAAGGACTACAGAAAAAAAAACACACTTAAAACAGAGGGTTTTCTCAGTTTAAGTGTGTTATTCTTTCTGTCGTGTTTGTCCAATAACAAAAATGCTCCCAAGTTTAGATTAAAAGTTAGGGTATTGATTATCAAAATTGGTTAGGAACAACTTGGAACTAGCTCTCTACAGTGAAGAATGCTCAGATCACACACTTATACAATCATATTTTCTACGTGCCACTTCAAAATGCTCCGACACACCACCACCACAAACAGGCTCTAACGCGCAGATTAAACCAATAAAAGTTAAACAGAATGCCACTACTACTGATTACACCAGTGATCGCAAAGATATGAAAATAGCGATATACATCGCATTCATTATCAAATGGGTCCTGCAATGCACTACGCAAGTATAAACTATACTAATTTATTTAGTACATACTGCGGACCTTTCGAGGTCCAAGCAGGGTGGGCGGTAAACACAAATAACGCTACAAAAAACAATGGTTGCATATAAAACAAGGACATAATGGTTGAAAAACGGCTGCACAGAGATACAAGATATACAAAATATACATATATCAAAATCTAGTAAATCACAAAGTTATAACAATGACCCATCAAAATATACAATGACAAAGATAACAGTGAAACTACAAAGCTGAAAGCTCCATCAAAATATACATTGACAAGAAGACTACAATGAAACTATAAAGGGGCGACGGTCACTGGGATGGATAAAAAGATTCCAATGATGATGCAAAATCAGGTGATGAAAACAGTTCTAGAGCCTCTTCTGTTATGGCCTAACAATAAATGTCTCTGTTGTGTCAAAGGAGTATGCAATTTTCAAAATACACAAATAATGCTCAATCAGATAACACAGACACCACACAATAAGGGGCATGGAGACATATATTGTCCGTTATTTTCTTCTCTGATATCTCAATCCACCTGGAAGAACTTGACAAGCACACAACTTCTAATACAGGGTCAATGCTAAGCGATGCAAAAATAGACACCGTCTAAAAATCTGGCATTGCTTCAATTAACATGGCACAAGACCACAAGTGCTATGCACGAAATTAAAATTGTAACAAGACACTTCGGGCTAGGCACTGTTTCCAGTTTCAAGTGGAATTATTTTCAGTGACAAAACTCACTCCTCCTACGATCCTTAATAGTTCGTCGTTAAATAATAATTATTCGCAGGTACATGAATGTTTAGGTTCAAGGAAAGTATGTACTTCTACACATCTGAGTTAATTACCTTGGTTCAACTGGTTCTGATCGAAAAAAATTTATCGCGACAGTTAAAAAGTATCATGAGCCAATATTTTTTTTAAGCAGATGCGTCTTATTTACAATCGTTTCCTTTTTTGCCATTTCAGATAAGAAGCGACAATCAAGAGAGTACCACAACAAAACCAAGCGCAAATCACAGGACACCGCGCGTTCAAGACAAAGACGCTCAATAATGTAACTGTACTTACCATCGGCCGCATGACAGTGCCGTCATACTCACCGGTCTCGTCAATCTCTGCGCGTAATCCAAAAGTGCGACCGTAGACCACAGCAGCCATGAACTTCCCCGTAAACGCCTTACCGACACCACCGTACGACCACGAGCACCGGCACTTCGAAATGAGCTTCCGCGCTGAGCGGCCGCCGCTGTCCGGCCAGAGCCTGTCCACCAGCGAGATCATCGACTCCTTCTGGAAGACGCTTGAGTTCCTGAAGCAGGACTTGATCCGGAGCTCGCCAGCGGCTCTCCTCGCTAAATCCGGCAGCCAGGAACAACCAGACGCAAGCCCGGCGGCCGGCACCGCTGCGGACTGGCCGCACCGACGGGTATCCATGGATCTCCCGCCGCAATGTCTCGTCGACGAAAGCGACTTCGGCCAGCGCGGTTTTGAAGACATCTCTTCACCGAGTCTGTACGAAGAAGAGCCGATTCCGGTGTGGGGAAACAAGAAGCAGGAAGAAGAGCGCGTCGACGACAGCCGGGTCAGTCCTCTAGAACAGGATGAATGGAGCCTCGAAGACGGCATCGTGAGCGAGCTCGACTCGTCACCGGAAAAAGGTTGGCCTTCGGCGGCGGCCAGCGCCGCTGAATCAGCTGCCGGACGTGAATCAGCGGAGAGGCGACGGCGGCGGTCGGGCAGCCGTGGCGGTTTCGACGACGCCTGCACGGACGTGCCGCCGGTTACCACCGTCGATGTCTGCGTGGGTGGAAGCGCGACAACGACGGCCATCTTGGAACCCGTGACCCCGGGTTGGGAGGAAGACGCGGACTCCGAGACGGAAGAGGAACAAGTGCGCCTTCCCGCCGGTGAGTTTTTAAGCCGCTCTGCTATCTGACGTTCTTCGGGAACGTCTCGAGTTTCCCGCTTAAACGGCTGAAACACGTATAAGCCGTCAGCCATGTAGTTTCCAGCCCAACTCCAACTAAGAGGATCTGGCCTTCCCTTGATATACGAGATATATACTCTTGTCACCAGGACGCGTGAAGTCCTGCATATGAAAAACTATTCCGGACGTCGTAAAAATTGTGTAAAGTTGTCGTTTGGATTAAAGAGGTAACGATTCCGTTTCATTTGTGAACCATTAAAGTTCGTAAAAAGGCATTTCCAGGTTTGTTCCCCGTTGAATAATTTTGCCCTCGGCGAACGTTTATAAATATTTTTGGTCTATATAAAAACACTCGGTTCCTTCGGTGGATGATTGTGATCAGATGAATTACTCTGCAGTAACACAACTGCTTAGAAAACAAATCGACTTATTTTAAGAGACTAAAATAGGCATAAGGTGTATTAATATTGATTTTAAAAGCCTTGCGTTGCTGTGTCTAGTAACTATTTTGTGAGCACTTTTTTCCGCTAAATTTTTCGGGGACGTATTTTTGTCACTAAAAGTGCGACAGAAGCTCTTTAAAGGTCTGGCCTGAAAAAGTCGAAAGATTGCGAAGTTAGGTCCAACGTTGCGTACTCAAGAACGCCCTGAACACATACTGTATATGGTTGTAGAACTTTCTCATCAACCACGCCGGAAAGACTCTTTGGCTCAGACTTGGAAATCGTGCCAGCGCGCCTCATTCGGACTAGTTTTCTTCCGTACACGTGTTAATGACAAATGAGTCGGCGACCTGACGTCATCAAATGATGAGCTTTCGTGAATGGCCAAGAGAAAGCAAAGAAAATGAATGTGTTATTTTGAGGTAGAGAACCCCTCAGGAAAAAAGACACAACAGATGTAGCTCATAAGAACCCCCCCCCCCCTTTTTTCTTCCCTCCCTCTCTCTCTCTCTCTCTTAGACTTACTTAATTTTGGCAACCCTTTTATCATTTTTTATGCTTTTTGGCAAAGAGAGAGAGACAGAGAGAGAGATTTAATCAGTCTACATTTAAACAAGCGTCCGAGTTACTTCAAAACGCTTAGGAAAACCACAATTAGAAACGGATGAAAATAAGTTCCCTTTGACTTTACCTAGTCGTTCTAACTAGGGCGTGAGCCAAATGAATCTACCCACTTTAAACAAGTCTTTAAAAAAAGTTTCGTATGTAATTTTGAAAACTCCCGAGTCTGGAGGAAAAAACAGACAGGAAAAACGAGAACTCTCAACTATGATGCCCTCTTTTTTTTTCCCCTAGTCTTGGGATTTTTCCAAAATATGTTCAATTTACTCCAGCTTGTTGGCACACTTGCTTTTTGTTTAGTTGCGAGTGCTTTGACAGTGTGAATTATCACGAATGTGCGACTAGGCGGTGCATTTGTTTTGTGAAAATATCAAACAGCAAACTTGCCTCAATAAAAAGATACATATAAAAACTGTTTATTTTTTTAACAGCGTATAATGTAATTTTGTAACGCCAAGTCTATTTGTGATCATTGAAACGTCTTGTTAACCAAAAGAAAAAAAGAAATTCAAGAAAATTATTTTAATTTTGCTGTCGTTCCCTGCTTTGTCCAGAAACAAATACCGATGACGCACAAGAACGCTTTCTTAGTTTCACTTTATTAATGCCTAGCTCTGTACTTACCCATAAAATATATTAGCTTTTAGGTGCAACTTTTGGTTAAGGCAAATTTTACTTCCTTTTTTTCACAACCCAAATGCTCCACCCAGCCACACTTCCGTACTAAATTACATACAATATCGAAGCATGCGGAACTTCTTTATTCTTCAAACCTCTTTTGAATCTGTAAGATCTAGTTGGCTCTCGCTGTATAGAATGATATCAACTTTGGTGGGCATTAAGATGGCACGTGCAGTCATTTGGGAGTATTGTCTTCGCTTTGCTTTAATCGAAGTGTACCAAAATTTTCACGAAAGGTTTTTAATCTTAGCACACAGACACTTTGAGACTGCACTCTTAATGTGTCTTTTCTTTCAATCGGTTAGCGTTGAGCCTATCTTTCGACAGTCTCGCGAGAGATATTTCCTCGGCTCTTTTTAAACAATCCCACCCTGTACTTCATCGGTCATTGTGTGAGTCTGCTTTCATAGCGAAATAGTTTTCGTATTTTAGTGATATTAATTAAGCATCCTGATAGCAAAATTCAAGATAGGTGTTAGGCCAGTGTAGAAACAAATAACTACACGCAACATGAAGGAATCAAATAACTATAAGTGAGCGACTACGCAAGTTCTCTTCATCAATGTAAGAAAGCAAACTGTTTTGTTTGTAAGTGTTATGAATGAATTTGAGGATCATTGTAGCTTGCTTTGCTGCAATTTTCTGTTACTCTATATAAAAAAAGGATTTATCCCGCTCTATAATGATGTAAAAAAAATATCGATTCTTCCAGTTCGAAGAAAAGGTCGTTTCATTACTATGTATGTCGGACTACACAGGGTGACTATGAGCCTGTAAATCCTGGAAACCATGGTATCGCCAGGCAATTTCGAAGCACCTGGAAAAACCAGGGAATTGCCAGGAAAATCGTCAGAATATTAGTTTAGTCAGGGAAAATGACCGATGCGGACAGCACAGTGACACGCAACAAAACAGGACGGTGTGGCGTGGGGTGGCGTGAATGGTCGTCGCCCTGAGTAACAGTGGTCCGAGTCATCACTACTCAGCGCAAGCTACCGCCCGTTTCGCCGAAAAACGTAAACAACCCGAACAAGTGCTGCAGCTAGTGGTGCAGAACTATCGGTAATGGAAGCCAAATCTATCAATCGATAGTGAAAAAATACGATCGATAGCATTATCGATCGTCGACTGTTGTGAAACCTTGAATGGTACTATAGATACTCGATTATCATACAACTATCGATACTATACCATCGATAGTTGACTTTCGTGAAACTACTGATATTAAACACTCGTAAAGTTATCGATGGTATTTGATTAGGTGACGAAAAACGTCAAGTGTCCACCCTGGAAATCCCGTAAAGCTCGGAGAAAAAACGGAACTGCAATTTGGGACTTTCGCATAATCATCGATGCGCAATCTGAAATATATTAAAAAAACTATCGGAAGTCGGTAGAAACCCTCCTTCGAAACTATTGACGATAAACTTTTGAAACATTATCGATTGTGTATTATCAGGAAACAGTGATTAAAAGATGTCGATAATAAAATTCAGATAAGTTTTCGATAGATTGTCGAAGTTTTTCAGCTGTTCTTAGACTGCTTTTCGCGAGTTTGTACTTCTTATTTTTATAGACAATTAAAATAAGAATCCATCGATCGTTCTTGATACGTGAACTATGCGACGCAGAAATACCAAACTCTGTTTGAATACTGAGGATGCAGGCAATGGTGATCGAATGCTTAAGTATTGGGACATGACTTTACCCAGATAAAAGTTAAGTGTGGTGTTTTTTTTTTATTTTCTAACAAGTTGCGAAAAATAAAAGAAACAATCTTTCCCTCTAGATTTAGAAGCTCATTTCTTTTACTTAAAAACGACTTATTCCCCGCCATTCAACAATTCCGTTACTTGATTCACGGAAAAGGTTCGTCTTAATATTTTATTTTTGATCCAGTTGGCTTTATGTTCCCGAGCTCATTGCATTGGAGATGTAAAATATAAAAGCATCCGTAACTAACCATGTTGGCGTGGTATAACCTTTTTGATCTGGTAATGTTAAATTTGTAGTGTCAACAACGAAATCTCTGTTACATTAATTTATTGACTCGAAATTACTCATTAATGCATTACGTGACGGCTAGCTCCTATAATTTGATGTTGTAAATTATACCAACAGGTCAATAATTTTTCAGCCACCGTTATCAAAATCTGCCAGCATAGAACCGAGCAAATATGGCTACATATCACGACAAAGAAGCCTAGCTGCTTTTGGCAACTGCTAAATCCCGATTTTCGGGAATTAGCTACGTTTCGTCATCAGCTGAAGAAAAGAATTATCCCCATCAGAGTGCCGGTTTTCACCTGTCAGTTGTCAAAACTATTAAAAGTAATATGTAGAACCGAACAATAAAGCAAACACAAGCGTGAAACAAACTTGTAAAAAACCCTGATGCTAAATATCTTAAGCGAGTGTTTTTCCTAGCTACAAGACAATAAGAAGAAAAAACTTAAGATATATATATATATATATATATATATATATATTTATGTTTACAATTGTGTGCATACTAAAGTGCAAAGCCTCATTTCTGAGCCATATACAAAAATATACGCATAAAAGCTGTAGCAAAATCTGACTTCTGATTTATATCTAAATTATAATGCATTACATGATCATGCCATGTTTTCTTCCAGAGCCGCTCGTTGTCTCCCCGTACATATCCGTCGTCATTCCCCTTTTGAATTGTGCGTTGATTTTCGTAACATTCGCGATAGTTCTCTGAAAGTTAACTTTCTGAAACCAAGCGCGACCTATTAATAGTACAACGCACAATAGTACAAAGGAAGTCGACAATCGATAGCACTATCAACACTCAATATCGATAGTACTATCGATACTCAAATATTGATAGTCCTATGAACAATACTATCGATGGTACTATCAGTTATTGGCTGTCAGTTATTACTGTTAAAGGACAACTAGTCGGTGGTAGTCTCGATAGTATTGTGAACTGTCCACTAGTGATAGTTTTAGGCACTGTAGTTTAATCTTTCGATAGTGTTACATCATTACATGCAACCCCATCCTCTGCATTTCATTATTCTGTAAGGATTGGGGTACTTTATCGAAATATTCCGGGGGAACCTAGAAAAGTTCGGGAATTGGAGAGAAACAATCGGTGCACACACTGTTTGAACGGTTATATGTAAATATATACTGAATGTCACAAAAAAAAAAAAAATTACAATTTTTTTTTTTTACCTTAAAATAAACTAGGCATCGCCGAACGCTCTCCGCCCGAAGGTTGCGCTTGAGGTCACAACGAGATGCCGAAGTTTCAGCCCGATCCCATACCTTATTCAAAAGTTATAAGTGATTTTCCGAAAATTTCAATGGGAAGATGGCGGCCGACGGAGTTTTCAAATACGTGGGGCTCTATGGCACCAGAAACCGAAAACGGGAAAAAATGGGCTCCATTTTCCCCCATTGAAATTTTTAGAAAATCACTTATAATTTTTTAATAAGGTATAGGATCGGGCTGCAACTTTGGCATCTGGTTGCGACCGCTGGTGCTATTTTTCGGCGGAGAATGAGCGCTCGGCGATGCCTAGTTTATTTTTGCGGTAAACAAAAACCTTGTAACTTTTTTTTTGGTGACACCCTGTATATATATATATATATATATATATAACGCCATAAATCATAAATATCCCATTTAATAACCAACTCCATATGGGAAAATTGTTTATCTGTTATAAACACATTCAGTTTTTTCTCTTCATTCTATATATATATATATATATATATATATATATATATATATATATATATATATATATATATATATATATATATATATATATATATATATATATATATACATATATATATATATATGTTTCATTTGACTCCACAAAGAGCACGGAGAAAGAAGGGTTAGATTCAGACGCACCGGACCGCACACAATAACCAGTCATAAAGTCGCAACGCCGCGCGGATTCGCACAACCAACTTGCCAACATTCGTGAAACTCGCCAACACGCGCCATGTAATCTGACTATCACGGGAAGCCCTGCGGGAAAACAGCGTGCGTTATAAACACGACACCGTGTTTTTTCTTCTTGTTTTTTCTTTCTTTCTATTTTTTTTTTTTCTTTCGGGCAGTGAGATACAAGACACGACTGCGGACGGTCGAAATTAGATTTCGCTTCGGAGAAATGTGTCCCCGCCCACCCCGACTGGCTGTCGCCGCCTGGAAGTTGGCTCTGCCGCGAGACGCGCGCCGCGGTAGGTGCAGCCCGCAGCGGGATGATGATGCAGGCCCGACGGCGCCTCAGCGAGCGACGGCAAGCGATGGCCGGCGCCTTTTGGCCGCCTCCGGTCGCCGACGCTTGATGGGCGCCGCCGACGATGTTGTTCCGCGGGACCCGCCGCCGAGTCGGCACCTCGTTATGCCGGCAGGCCGCGCCGCCGCTAAGGAAGCGCAGGTATATAACGGGAGGCGAAGACGGGTCACCGGGCTAATTACAGCTGCTTGGGAGCGCTTATACCCCGATGGAGACGGGTCCTGCTTCATTTGGTCGAGGCTACATGACGCGGGGAAAAGCAGTATTTCGAGGAATCGAAGCGGTTTTTTTGTTTCGTGAATGAAACGGAAGGTTAAAGACACCGCCGATTCGGTGGATTGCGTTTTGTTGGGAGCGGGGCAGCAGGTTGTTGCACGAGAGCGTCGACATGTCCGAGTGCTTAAGGGTAATTTTTGTTGGTAGGTGTAAGTGCTTCGGGCGTTCATCAGGCTTTCGTATAAAGAGTCTCTTCGTATGAATTTTGAGTCTCGGGATCTAGGGGAAATTTATTTAACGCTCTGCTTTTCTCTTCATCGTGTTTCCGGTAAATGATTAAGACGTTTTTTGTGTTTTTTTTTTTTTTTAATTATTACTTTGACGTTTTTAGAGGTAAACGCGTTGAACGTTTCTGCTTAAATAAACGCATAAATGGGGCTGTATGCTCGTTTTTCCTGTCATGGCGAAAGAGTTCCTTGGTAGTGCTACTAAAGGGCTACGGCGAACAGCTCAGTCCTTGGCCCGTACAACGATAAACTGAAACCATGCAGGAAGTGTACGGAAAAACAATATATATATATATATATATATATATATATATATATACAGTCATTTCTCGTTAACACCAGCCCCGTTAATATGGATGACCCGCAATGTGGACACCATTGTCGGGGACAAACTGAGAACATACCTGCATTTTTGTCTCGTTTTTATGGACAACTCATACTATAGCAGGTTCACACGACGTACTGGTGAGCGGGCGGATTGATCATGTGACGACATGTCCGCGGTTCGTCCGTCTCCCAAGCGCATCCATACGACGCAGACGACGAGCAGACGCCAGTGATGATGAACCCAACTTTTCGCCACCCCACAGTGCCGCCAAACTCCAACATCGTACCATGCCACCTTTCTCCAAGAGAGAAATCGACGTTTGCTACATCGATAAAGAATCGTACGCCGTTTTTAAGTGCACATCGAGACAAAAAACTGTAATAGGCTTCGCGCGAAGCGCCACTAGCTTTACTTACTCAAGACATGACAGTGACACAGGCATCGTCCTGCTCGAAAAGTGTTCGGCGTAGAGGCAAAGAAGTTCTGGCCTCGCGGAGGGGCGTTTAAAGATGCCTTCACCCAATCCGCGCTCGTGCGCAACACTCAAGCACACCACAGCCACAAGAAAAATCTAGCTCGGTGGCAGCCTGATCGGACGTGCAAGAATAATCGCGGTGTGCTAGACGAGTTGAAGGTTGGAAAAATTAAAAAAGTTTATTTCATGGTATGAGTAGCGAGAGTTAACAAATAATTAACACTCAAATTTTGTTTTTGCGTTAGAGTTAGGGGGTGTCCACTTATGGAGAGCGCCTCGAGAGCGTACGACAGGACAGCTCTCAAGACATGCCTGCATGTCTTGTTAATCAGATGTACCCACCTTCTAAAATCCCTTTCATGGATTGCCGTATCAATAAATAAAAAGCTCTCGTGTCGTGCGTTCTCTAGTTATACAGCCGTGTACTGGAATTGATTGGTAGATGTTTTCTTTTACGCACCAACATATCACTTCTTTCGCGTTTAGTAATCTTCTTGATTAACGTCCCATTTATTTATTTTTTCTAACAAAAACAAAAATCTGCGAAGAATCTCAGTTCAACACTGCGACTGAAAAGGGTCAATACAAGCGACGCACCTTGGATCGAAAGGCGGATAGGAGACACAACCAAATACCGTCTCGGAATAACGTCGCCTCCCGATCGGCGTCGCCTCCTTTCTATAAAGCTGTCGTCCACCTTGATTCCCAGGACCCCCAAACTGCCCTCCCCGTTGCCCCCCGCCACAGGGACCGTGGAATGCCGGCCATCGCCGTACGGAGTTCCTGCTTCATATTCAGTGGCTGTCCCACTCCGGGCTCCTCCTCGGCGCTATCATTGCTCTCCCGTGTCCGAGCGCTCAACCTCCTCGCCGCTACTGGATCGTGAGTCAGCTCAGAGGCACGGGCTTATCTCCGCGGAGTGATCTCATACCTGCGCCAGACACTCGGCGGCTTTGCTGCACGAATCTATCGCGAACCGTGCTCGCGTGTGGCCTCCGGACAGGTCCTATGTTAGTTGTTTATGTTTTTCCGTGTTTTTGTTAATTGCTAAATTGGGTTGCTGGAATGTGCTTGGGTTTATGAATGCATTGCTTCGTCGATTACCGGATGCAAAACGGTAATTGAATATCATTTAAACATATTTTTATTCCAACAATAGTAGTGTAGCTATGTTTCGGAAGATATTGTGATCATCACTATCTTCACGTTGTTTTCTCTAGATAAATTTAAAAATTCCAAACCCGGTGGTACTTTATCAACCATATCAACAGTCTCCTTAATTCAGTTTATAATACACTTAAAATAGATGGGTTTCAAGGGTACTCTATAACATCGCAACCAGCTCCTCCGAAATTTAAAAAAAAAAAAAAAAAAATGTCCCATGAAATAGTTTTTGAACAGCCCCTTAAGCGGCTGCTCAATTTATCATTGCGCGCTGAGTTTTACACAATAAAATACACCCGGCAATACGTTATACCATTTACGGACTATCGCTCTCCATTGGTGATTTTTATGATAATTTACAATAGTTGAGTGCAACACTAACGTACAAGGAGGGTGGCGACGTACTCGTGCAGATATAATATTACTGGATTACCCAGATTCTCAGCTGTTGTCATTTTTTTAATAATCTGATTATAATGAACACATTCCTATTAAGAAATTAAGAGCATTTAGGTCCTATTATAAAAGTCTGGGTGACCGGAAGAAAGAACAACCTCTAAGAGGAAGAGAGAGAACATATGTTTATCAAAGGAGATACGAAGGTGACTTGTTAAGAACCATAAACACCAAATAAGCGATATAACTCATGCTAATAGAAACTTTGGAGTGGTAACAACCGGCTTGCGAACATAGATAACGACATACGTTGCTTTATTTTTAATAATTTTTATCAAAGTTCAAAATAATTTTTTATCAGAGACTTTTGTCACACGCCCGCCTTCCCTCTGAAAAACATCTCATGACCGCGTGACTGATGGCTACTGGCGTCACATCTGGCTTGCACAAAGAAACTGGCACGAACGTATAAAACAAGCGAGCGTCGTGTTTGTGAAACAAATTGAAATATATTTTAATACTGATACACTCATCGCATCTGGCGAGAGCTTGATTTTGGATCAACTCCAAGTCACGGGCAAGACGATTTCCCTTGTTCGGATGGTGATATATTCTGATCCGCGGAAGAACGTGCTGGAAATGATCAATTAAAGGAGGCGTTTCGTAATGCCCCGATATCGGCACCTCTGCTGTAGACTCGCTCTGTGCTTCTTCGTCTTAGTTCCAGGTATTAGTGGCCATTTTGTGGCGAACGACAAATTCTTCTGCTCTCTTTTTATTGCATTTAGTTTCTTCGTGTATTTTCTTTTTAATTTTTTGGTCGCTTTGCTATCCTGCTGAGTAGCTGTTTTTGGCGAGGCAGACATCCAGTGGACTCAATTCTTTTTTTTTTTACGTTGTAATTATGAAATTGCTTTAAAGCAGTCCTGATCATTGCAGTCACTTCAACAAGACGTTGATAGCAATTTTGTTTAAGCTCATCTCTTTTTTTATTGCAGGTGTTTTTCTGTCATTTTTGTTTAAGATGGCTGATATGGTAGTGAATTAGCAGTTATAAGGGTAAGGGGAGGGGAGTTAAACCTTGTAATTCGCAGTCATATAAAGGCACAACCAAGAAATAATGGGGTATCCAGGTATTCTCGAACCACGGCAACGCTAATCAGCGAACCTCTCTAGCTTGCAGAGCCAACTGAAAGCTATCTCACGCCCCGACAAGCTGAAAAAATGTAGTGACCCCCACATTCCCGTTTCTCTGCCTTGACCGAGCCCATTACATACGCGGAGGAGTCATACTCGCACCCGGCCGACCCGGCTCTCACCACCGTGTGAACCGTTCGGTCCAGGCGTGGGCGGAGCCGATGCGTCGAGCGCGCTCCGCAGAAAATTCCTTCCTGCCTCCCGAGCCTCCCTTCCTTTCCAGGTCTTCCACGTTCCATCGCGCCGCAGGAGGAGCAGCAGCATCAGCGGCTGCTTCGGTGCCTCGCGGAGGTCCGCGTTGCTCAGCGTGACGCATACATACGAGACCCCAATTTCGCATTCGCCTCGCCCAGCAACGAACCGTGATAAGCGTTTGCCGAAGAGCGCGAAGCAAAGAAACCTGTATATATCCCGAAGATCGTCCGTCGGACATCGAGGAGAGAGGGAAACGGTTCTCGGAAATCGAGGTGAAGAACGCGTCGCCACCACGCGCGCGCCTCGATGATCAGCGCTCTTCGTGATAAAAGTTTACAACAGGCTATGAGGAGCAGGAGTTGCGCCTCCGTTACCGGTGACAGCGACATGCTATGAATGGCGAGGAGGCAACCGCGAGCCATTATCGCCAGGTTTTTGTTTTGTTTTTTTGTTTGTGCGGACGGTTGTTAGAGGGAAGCGAAAACTGCTGTTTTTGATGTACTGTTGGAGGACTTTAGTTGTTGTTGTATGTTGGTGTTGATTTGGCGCTGCTTGTTTGCATTCTGGAGCTCGTTTTAGGGCAGGAAGGTCACGCGGTGAGTTGGGGTTGGTTGCGCCGCTCGCGAGGGCAACTGGGGGCGATGTACCGAGCACCCGGCTCTCCTTCTGGGAAGTGAGCGAACAAATGCTGCCTCGTTTCACGGCGGTGGCGCAACCATGTGTCACGGCGTGGTAATCGCTTGCCTTCGTGTGTTGCCTGCGCTTGCTTTGGATGGGCTCGGCCCCCGACGTCTATTCTGGGGCGAATCGCGAAGCTGACTGCGTTTGTCTCTAGGTATCAGTTTTCAGGGGCTCGGTGTCCCGTACCACATCCCGCAAAAATATTTTTGACGGGCTTTTTTTTTATTTTTTTTTTGTAGTGTGCTTGTTTGTATGTTTGTGTGTTTGGAGAAAATTTGTAATTACCACTCTCAAGACGGCATCGCATTATAACGGGATGTGGTGACACGTACCCCTGTTACGGGTGTGATGAAAATATCCTATATTCCTAATAGCATGAAGCGTCTTCACAGTGCACCGGAAACAAGTTTCCCACCAGACGGTTCTTTCGACTTAGATATGCTGCGATCATTTTTACAGATGGAATATTTCGAAACTCTGAGGTAGGTCGAGTTACGTAATCTATAGTGGGTTTCCAAATGTGCAATCCTGATTAATAGACAGCGCAATTATTTAATCTTATCATTAGCTTAAAAGTAGGAAGAAGTTGTGAAATTCGTCATCCAAGCTTCTCAAATGATCTCTCACCAAAACTAAAACACGGAAACACATGTTTAAAAAAAAACACGTATACGTTGAGCCCTTCGGTGACTTTATTACTAACTTTTTTTTACATTTAAATTGTCATTGAAGCTATTTCCTTAATTTCACTATACATCGTTGAGAAGGAAACCTTGAAGTTTATGATATACAAAATGGTCATTTGTAAAAGAATTGAAGAGAACCAAGTGCCGTTCGCTTTCTCAACCAAGACCGCAAAGACTGGGTGGGGGCTGTGGCCGTGTTGCCTCATGCTGTATAATTTCTGCTGCCGAAGAAAAATAAGAAGCAGACACCAGTCCATGCGTCTAGCCGATGCCATCCGCAGTTTGGCTCAGCTCGAAGAGCTCAAGCTGAACCAGGTGACGCTGCGTAGGTGGCACGCTGGCCTCCTTGGCATTGGTCATCGTCTCAGCTCGCAACCGGAACAAGCAGTTACGTCACCTGACGATGGTTCTGCACCGGAAATGTTCATAATACCCACGCACTGCGCTTGGTAATGCAGAGAACACAGGCTGATCGGGACATTGATATAGCTCGGTGATTTGTGTAAGCGCGATAATTAAACGAGAGTTCTGTCGGGAATGTTCTCAGGGGCATTCAGTGTGATCGAATCCGAGACGTCAACTCACGTAAACTTGCGAGTGCGAGAGGGAAAGAACAAGTCCTATTCCATTCTTGAACTCAGAGTGAGAAAAAAGACTCAACAGCGTCGCTTGCGGGTACGCTCGTTTCGGTATGCCTGCGTAAAACTCAAACCAAATCTAATGTTATGTTCCCTTTAACCTCTGAGAAGCTTGACGCGGCTCCAACAATCCGCCTGTGCCCTTTTTCAATATTTAATATACACTAGTCTAATTTAAATGTAATTTGTCATTCAGAGACCCATTTTTCGCCATTTGGCAGCAGCTTTTCGCATTCTTTTTTTGCATCGCCATCGACTCTTACGACCAAATTAAGCAGCCCGTCCAAAGTGACGCCAATTGGATAGTGGACCGCACTCGTTTCTTTTCCATTTCTCACTTAGGAACCTGCCATTAGTCTGGGAGAGCAGACCCCACGCCGATACAAGTGTCCGACATAGACTTCTGCAGCCGGTGCAAGGATATGCGCGCACCTGAACGTCGTTTCGCGTTGTTCACCTTCTCTCCCCGAGGCAGTGCCGAATTGGAGTTGCTACAGCGAGCACCACACCCAGATTCTGCGGGAGTTCAGAAGACGCTTTTGCTTTGAAGGGGCTAATTCCTGTTCTCGGAGGTTCCTTACCGTGGCGTGGGAACCGAGACGGTCTTCCCGCGTCGACCGAGGGGACGCCCCTCGAAACTCCAGAGGGTCGCTTCGCGGAGTGGGCTGCATCGCTAACGGGAGGGAGGGGAGTCACCCTGGCTGTGCGCGCTGCTTTGCTCCATTGCCTTCATTTGCCAAAACTGCGCGGGTGAACGGTTTTGCCACCGCAGCTCTCTCATTTTGAGAGAGACCTATCTGCTTGCCTCGTATTTGAAAATTACTCTTCTGTTTTTTTTTTTCTTGTTGCGCTTTTTAGTTTGTATTTTTTGTTTGTCTTTTTTTTTTGCGAAGTGGTGTTTGTAAGGGAATCGTTGGTTGGGGAA